TAACCTTTTACTGAGTTCTCTTTTTGACAGGCAATGTGTGATATCCACAGGCCCTGCTGTCTAGGAGCTTAGAGCTTAATATGTACATGTGATGACGAGGGGCACAGACATGCATATATGCAACTCTAATATAAGGCAAACTGGTCACCTAAACTTGTGCTTTTGTGCACAGTTACCTAGGTATCCTTAATGCCCTACTGGCCCTGTGGGCTCCTCTTTCTCTCCTACATCTCCAGTAAGACCCTATCAGCCTAGTGCCTGGAAATTTTTCCAGGATTACTAAGGAAATTTCCCATCCAATCAGGCAACAATCGTTAGGTCTCCTTTTGATCAAACTCACATCAAACCGGCCCTCCCTGATCTCGTGTCTAGACCCACTTCCTCCTCAGATTCTACAGAAATACCCTGGACTTCACAGTACATCCCTCTGCATTTCTTTTTCCTACCTTTTATGCCTACTAACACACATCCCTATCTCACTAAGATTACACATTTTCATAACTTCCTTTGATTCTTTTTCCCCCCAAATTTATATGCCTGATTTCTCCTCCTCTTGTATAAAGTGTTTTCCCATGTCTCATCTTGCTTAGTGACACTACCATTCTTAATGGTTGGATGTGAATCTGATGACCTTGCATTGTTTTTGTCACACATTCTCTCTATCCAGCCTGATATATGTGGATGCTCTCTTGGAATAGCTGATTTTCATTGTTCTCTGTCCTGTCATTATCTTGGGCTAGCATCTTGCTATCTTATTCACACATTTATTGGGCTTCAGCAAAATGCTAGGCCCCCCACTGGTCATCCATACTGCATTTCTAAAGTTTTCTCCTAACTTATTTCCCTTCCTTCATTCTTTTCTTCCCCTCTATTCCATTTGGTTAATCTTCCTCAAGCATTTTTTTCCTAATTTCACTTTTGAATAGGGTGATACAAAATTTCTTATCCAAAACAGGATATTTTTGTGAGTTAAGGGAGCACTGTTTAATAAGATATCGGTATAACAGGTATAAGCCAGCACTATTCTTGGAAATCCAGGATATATAATCATCCCACAATTAGAGAGCATTTCTTGGATTCTTTCCTTTTTCAGTTTCCTCAACTTATTCCCCATGGGAACCCCAACTGCCAATCTCCTCTGTTTTTCACTTTATTTATAAAGCTGAGATAAGTATGAATGTTCTAAGAGATGGCAGAGAGGAAAGATGAGAATTAAGGGAAATGGATGGTAATGCTTGAAAAAACATATTGATAAGTAAGAAAGAGAGTAAGGAGAGGAGAATAGCAAGGTAGAAAAAGGAATACAAATTACAGAGCAAGGAAAGAAAATTAAGATTTGACTCTTTGGAACTTGTTTCCAGTTGACTATCAAATTCTATCCATTTTTTTGTCTTGTCATTTCAGTGTTCTGGCTGGGTTTACTTCAAGCAACTTGATTCTTTCATTCCTTCATTTGTTCAGCAAACAACAAAAATTTTTGTTTACTTACTAAGTGCCTGGAACTGTTCTACAGTAGTGAACAAAAAGAACAAAATCCCTACCAGCATGAAGCTTACACATAGTGTAATCTTCCTCTTGTGAGTACACCAACCCTGCACCACCTTCCTTTTGAAAAAACAATTACTGCTTCTCTTCTGAGATTCAGCTGAAGTTCTGTCCTTCTAAAACCCTTCCCCCCAGCATTCTGAGCCTCAATAATTTCTCCTCCCTCCTTTCCTTAGCCTCTGTAGACCAGATACCTTAATGAAATTTATTTCCTCACAATTCTGGAGGCTAGAAGTCAGTCTAAGATTGGGGTAATCAATTAGGTTTCTGTTGGAGGACTCCCATCCTAGCTTGTGTGGATGGCTGTTACTGCAGTGTGCCCACATGACCTTTGCTTGTGTGCATGCAGGAAGAGAAAGGGCTCGCTTGTGTTTCTTTTTATACAGCACTAATCCTTTTGGATTAAGGCTTACCTTTATGACCTCATTGAACCTTAATTATCTCCTTGGAGGCCCCATCTCTAAATACAGTCATATTGAGGTAGGGCTTCAACATGATTTCAGGGAGACACAAATATTCAGTCCATAACAGTGCTTTTTAAATTTTTCCCTATCAGAATGGTGATTTTTATAAAATATGTTGCTAAATAATTATTAGATTAAGAAATGTATGAAGAAGAGAAAGTTTCAGAGATTAGAAATGGAAACAAAAAGCAGAAAGAACTACCAGTTTTCTCCCAGAGACAACTCTGGAGGTAAGTACACTTGCAATTCTAATCTGCTCTGTTGTCCCCTGGCTTCTCACTGAGTTTCCTCCACTTCCTCATCCTGTGTGATTAGGTGAGTTAGCAGCAGCTGGATGGGGTGAGCTCAGGATTCAGCCAAGAACTCACTCTCACCCTATTCTCTCTAGCTACCCTTCAAACCTTGCACATTAGTCTATGTAAGTACTTGTGTATGGAGTCAGTTGCATCTGTACTTCCACGATGTGAACTTAATCCTTGACGGATCTCTTCTTGCTGGTCTTGAGCACTCACCACTGAACATATCCCTCCTCCAGAAAATGACTCAGTTTACCAGAAAAACATAAGACAATGGGAATTGATCAAACTTTTTTGAAAGAGTAGGCAGTACTGCAAAGCAATTTCATCCCTTTGACTTGTGGAACTTCTATCCTAGGAATATATTTTAATAGGAAGAAAACTTTCTATGGACAAAGAGATCATGAAAAGGCTGGAGGTGTGGCTAAAGTGGTAGAGTACTTGCCTCGTAAGCACAAGTAACCCCTCCCCTGAAAATGATAGGTAAATTATGAATTCAATTAGTGGTATGTTATGTGGAAAACTACTAATAAAAATTAATATTTTAATATGTATTATTAATGTGTATTACAATATATGTACCACTATACAGGTATATATGAACAGGTATATATAGTGGTACATACCTGTATTCCCAACTATTTAGGAGGCAGAGGCAGAATGATTGCAAATTGCAGGCCAACTCAAGCAAAGTTAGCAAGATTCTGTCTCAAAAACAAAATACAGTGCTGCACTAGTGACTCATGCCTATAATCCTAACTACTTTCAAGGATGAGATCTGGTGGATTGAGACTCAAGGTCAGCCTGGGCAAAATAACCAGACTAAAAAGGGATTGGAGGTGAGGCTTAAGCAGTAGAGTCCCTGCTTCTTAAGCATGAAGGCATGAGTTCTAACCCCAATCCCACCCTTTCCCCAAAAGGATACAAAACAAAAAGGGCTGGGGATGTAGCTCAAACAGTAGAGTGTTTGCCTAGAATTCTCAAGGCCCTGGGTTCAATCTCCTGTATGGCAAAACAAACAAACAAACAAAAAAAAAAAAAACGGGGAAAATGTTGGTCAAAGGACAGAATTTCAGCCAGGAGAAATAGGTTCAGAAAATCTATTGCACAATATGACTATAGTTAATAACAATGTATTATATACTTGAAATTTGTTAAGGGTAGATTTTAAATGTTCTCACCACAAAAAAAGTATGGGAGGTCATAGATATGCTAATTAGTGTATCTTAACCATTCCACAAGGTCTATATAAGTCAAAACATATATTACTATACTATAAATACTTACACTTTTTTATTTATCATTAAAATGCAGAAGAGATAGGGTGAAAAATTTTATCTACAATGTGTTTTTCCAACAAGATGTAGACAAACAAGTCTGAAATGAAGCATAGTAGAAGAAAAATTAGGCATGTGCTAGTATCATGGAGTCACCAGTCGCCTTTCATTTTCTTTTACAATTCAACCCCCCTCTGCATTTGAAATGTACCTTATATTATATAGAGAGTTTCATGTCAAACCAGTTGGGAAATTCCTGTTCATTCTTGATAGGTGGCTTCATGTCTTAGCCCCAATTGTTTGTGTTATCCCCTAATCTCATCCTTTTGCATTGTTTACATTGCCAAAGCAAAGTCCTATCACAGTTCTCCACCATGCTTTAACCTTTTTCTTCAATTAGACCCCTCAGGATCACCCAGTAGATTGTTAGATTGATGGCATGGTAAAAAGCAGACAGATGAAACTAGCACAGAAAGCTGGCTCTAGGTATAGACCAGCCTCTACACAGCAGGCTGTAATGTGACTAGGCTTCAATAGTGAAAGAACTGTATTCCCACTTATCTAACGGGGCTTAAATATACAGGGGTAGAGTGGGCCATGGTACCTAGACCTAGAGAAAAAGATGAAATCTTAGTCATACCCTAAGATAGAATCCCACTTGATGTTTTAAAGAACAATTTTTGAGTGTCTGTTCTATGCCAGCCACTATATCACTAGCATTAGGAAAACTAAAAGCCAAACAAGTCTGAAGATTAGTCATTTCAGTTACAGAACTAAGGATATTTCATTTTACTTTTTCTAGGGACCAGATTATAGTTGAGCCTGCCATTATGAATTGATGCGCTATTTCTGTGAGTTCGCAGAAAGAAACCAGGGTGGATTTTATACTGCTCACTGCTTCCTCTCACGTTGGACCAGTTGGACTCTGCTCACTCTGGCTTCTGTGTCTAAGTTCACTTTTCTAGCTTTCTGAGTAGTTTCCTGCCTTTGAACATTTACCCTTCTAAACGCGTTGGGGTCTACCTCATCCTGTCCTTTGGACAGTTCTTATTTCCATAGTACAGAGAACAGGTGACATGCACAATTTCTGTTTCTTCTATCAGATGGTGAAACTGGGACTGCAAAGGTGTTGATTACAATGCATCATTCCTGAAAAATCAGAATCACATTGTACTCTCTAAAGAATTCCACAACAGTGTTGCCAAGAAAGCAAAAATTTCAAAATTTCCTCTGAAGGGATAAAGAAGACTAGAAAAGCCACTGGAATGCTCCCATCAGAAAATGAGAAGAAAGACAAGAAACTTCGAACATAGGGTTAAAAACAATAAAGCACTCACAGAAGGGAGTGATCAAGAATCTGAAAAAGATGTTAGTCAGTGCTCTGACCCCACAAATGAGAGAGTTCAGGCTGAAAAGAGACAGTATGTGTGCACTGAGTGTGGGAAAGCCTTTAGTCAGAGTGCAAACCTCACAGTGCATGAACGAATCCACACAGGAGAGAAGCCCTATAAGTGTAAGGAGTGTGGAAAAGCCTTCAGTCATAGCTCCAACCTTGTGGTTCATCAGAGAATCCACACTGGGCTGAAGCCCTATACATGTAGTGAATGTGGGAAATCTTTCAGTGGTAAGTCACACCTCATTCGGCACCAGGGCATCCACAGTGGAGAGAAAACCTATGAATGTAAGGAGTGCGGGAAAGCCTTTAGTAGGAGTTCAGGACTTATTTCACATCACAGAGTTCATACTGGGGAGAAGCCCTACACCTGTATTGAGTGTGGAAAAGCCTTTAGCCGAAGCTCAAACCTTACTCAACATCAGAGAATGCACAAAGGGAAAAAAATTTACAAATGTAAGGAGTGTGGGAAGACATGTGGTTCTAATACAAAGATCCTGGACCATCAGAGAATTCACACTGGGGAGAAGCCCTATGAGTGTGATGAGTGTGGAAAAGCGTTCATCTTAAGGAAGACGCTTAGTGAACACCAGAGACTTCATCGTAGAGAGAAACCTTACAAATGTAATGAGTGCGGGAAAGCTTTTACTTCTAATCGAAATCTTGTTGATCATCAGAGAGTTCACACTGGAGAGAAGCCTTACAAATGTAATGAATGTGGGAAAACCTTCCGGCAGACTTCTCAAGTTATTCTACATTTGAGAACCCACACTAAGGAGAAACCTTATAAATGTAGTGAGTGTGGAAAAGCCTATCGTTACAGCTCACAGCTTTTTCAACACCAGAGAAAACATAACGAAGAGAAAGAAACCTCATAAATAACAAACATCCTTGGTAATAGGGCTAACTGCTACTCTTCTAAAAAGTAATTTTTGCAGTATCATTAACCATAATTCTACTTTTAAAATCCAAATGGGAAATAATGAGTAGACAAAGACAACTGAAAGGGGTGGGGAGCCCTAGATTTTCAACAATACAGGGGTATAGGAGCTGGGGGCATGGCTCAAGCTGTAGAGTGCCTGCCTAGGAAGTGCCAGGCGCTGAGTTCAAACCCCAGTAATGCCAAAAAAAAAAAAGAGGAATAATATTTAATTTCCATGTCAAATGGTTTGGGTAAAATGGAAGATGAAAGAAAGAAAAACAATGAAACAATTCAATTTTTTAAATTTATGCAAAAGAGAAAGGAAGTAAACCAAACCAAAATGTTAAGATTATTTCTGGGTAATGCAGAATTGTAGATAATTTCTATTTTCTTCTGTGTCCTTTTCTATACTTTCTAGATTTTTTATAAGAAGAATGTACTACTTTTATACTTAGGAAAAAATTATAGTATAAAGGCACTTGTTATATACTCTTAAAATATTGGGATTATACCTGAATACTGACACTTAGCAGTAGTGAAACTGGCTGAATCAGTTCCTTTTAGAGACTGTTTTCTGCTAGTGAAGTCATTCACACTAATTCTTTGTCTTTTTGTTTGTTTGTGTGTTGGACTAGGGTTTGAAGTTAGGTCTACAAGTTCAGCCACACCTCCAGTCCATTTTGCTGTGATATTTTGGAGATGAGATCTTGTGAACTCTTTGTTCAGGTTGGACTTTGGAACCATGATTCTCCTTGATCTTCAAACCTCATAATTAGCTAGCATTACAGGGTTGTGACCACCAGTGCCTGGCTTTTTTTTTTTTTTTTTTTTTTGATACTGGAGTTTAACTGACAAAGCCTCATACTTTGCTAGGCAGGTGCTTCTATCACTTAAGTAGCCTGACAGCCCTTGTTTCATTCTGGGGTTCTTTTCAAGATAGTGTCCTATGAACTATTTCCCTTGCTGGCTTCAAAACTACAATTCCTCCTGATCTCTGCCTCCTGAATAGCTAGAATTACAGGTATGAGCCATTAGGGCCAGCTAATTTTTTTTCTTTATGATAATTAGGGATCTCACTATGTAGCTTAGGCTGAGCTCAAACTTGTGATCCTCCCGCCTCAGCCTCCCAAGTGCTCAGGTTATAGGTGTGTGCTTACCTGTCCTTTGTCTTTTGCAGTTTTAAAATAAGTGAGTTGTCTATGTATAATTACTGTTAAGTTAAACACACATACTCTCTCTCTCTCTCTCTCTCTCTCTCTCTCTCTCTCTCTCTCTCTCTCTCTCTCTCTCAGCAAAAATTGAGTGCGCCCTCCTTTCCCTCAATTGTGTACTGGTCTGAAGATGGTGAGCTACCTATATCCTGGCTTTCCAGGACATGTTCAGACAACTAGGAAAAAGTTGCCCTTATGAAGTTGAAACAATTATAGGCTTAAAAACATTAAAGAGTTGGTTATCATTAATATAAAACTAGTGGGAGATTTTGCCTTCACTGTTATATAGAGTTTAGTATGTAAAAATACAGATTTTGGGTTTGGGAGATCTGTGTTCTAGTCCCAACTTTGCTGAGTACTAGCTTGTCAGTTTTGCATACGTCATTTAACTGCATTTAGCCTCAGACTTTTCTGTAAAAAGAGAATAAATTATCCCACAGGGTTGCTGTGAGGATGAAATGAAATAATGAATGTAATGTATGACAAGCCTGACACATGGTAACGTATAATATCTCAAGTGTAGGACATTGGAACAGTGTTTCTAAACACTCTAGAGGGATGGTTGAAGTTTTGCCAAAGGTAGCATATAGGATGTTTTCAAGTGTAACGAATGGAATATTAAATGGTAATAAATTAGACCTTAAGAATATTGATTTTTTACTTAATAGGAAGTCTAGAGGTAAGCAGTTCATCAGACTTCCAAATTAACTCTATAATTTTCATATTGTCTTTCATTTCTCATAACCCCATGGTCGCAAGCCAGTGGCCACAGCTGGACCTCCTTTTCTTCACACAACTCCCTGCAAGTTAGGAATTGAAGAGAGGGGCTGAGGCTTTCTTACGTGAGTCCTTTCTTCTCCCGCTCCCAGAATAAGGGAGGGAAGGGTACGGAGCAATTAACGCCACAGATGCAGCCAGCTTTCCTCACCCTCCCTACGGCCAGCTCTCCAAGACGGTCTTAGCCCATCTTGACCCAGTATTCAAAACTTTTAGGTCTTTAGTTCAAAGTCCATCTGGCTACAATTAGGATCTCCCCAATTCTTAACTCAGCCATTCCTCTTTGTGCACTGTGAATCCCTAAGCCCAACACAGTGATTCATTATTTCATAAGTTATTGAGGATATGTTATTTAATTCTTGCAACATTTGTGTAAGAAAATTGAGTCTCAGGCTGACAGAGTGGCTCAAATGGTAGAGTACCTGCCTAGCAAATGTGAGACCTGAGTTTTTGTTTTCCAAAAACAAAAGAAAAGAAAAAAAACAAGTCTCAGTATATTAGGTGACTGGTTTATAAGTGGTTGGAGCCAGAATTTGAACTCAGATCTGACTTTGAAGTTCATGCTTTCCTCATGATACCAAAGTCTCTCTTCTCACCTGGTGATTCTGTATGAGTGGGAGACCAATTGAGGTTCTAAGGATGGCACCTCTGTGAAAGGTGATTGTAGCTGAATAATTATTTGACCATGGTTTCAGAAGGAAGACGCTATCAATCTCTGAGTAAGATTTATGGCCTATCTCTGTACCTTATAATTTCATTTTAAGGGTTATATATATTTCTTCCTTGACATTACTGGAAAGAAAGAAGTAAAGGTTGTATATCTGTGTGAAAAAAGATTGTTTGGTTTTTGTCCCATTTTGATAGGATAGTGGTTTGTTCATAATTCTGTGATACAGTAGTCCCTCTTCCTAGAGTTATTCAAAGCAGGGATTGGAGGGCCTGGAATAGACTGGCTGCATTCAGGAGCATTCGTCTGCTGATGCTTCCTGTATTGCTGAGTGGATAAGTGTTCTCCAGTCACTGCGCAATCATTTTCCCATCACTATGTGGTGCCTGAAATTTTTTCTTCACATAGGCTTTCTTTTTCAATGAAAGAATTTTTTATCTTTAAGAGTAAATATTTCTAAGGAAGGATATTATGTCATCTCATACCCAGAGATCTGAATACAGGAAATCTTCACATTTCTTTCCCCAGGGAAGCTAGGATTAAGGTCTCTTGAAGCCCTCATTCATCTTCTAGACTGATGTTGAGCTGCAGAAGGAAATGGTGGCCACACGTTCCCGCACCCCTTCTGAGAAGTATCCTGCAATATGGTTTGAACAGATCACCCACCTTCCTCCATGGCTCTGCTTGGACTCCCAGTTGTTACCTTAGAGCTTAAGCCTACATCCTTGGTCAGGCATCCTTTTAAGCCTTTTCATAATACCCTGAGTTCAGGTGATATCTCTGAATGTGTTTTCTTCATTTCCTTGTACTGATGGAACTTGGGCTTTTCCCTAAGGGCAATACTTCCTCCTTGGTTCCTTGATTGCCAGTCTTTGTCTCCCTCAACCCATGTACCTCTCTGCACTGCCATGTCTTCTCTATTCTCTATCAGAAACCAGCTCTGTTGAAACATTACAGAACCACTGTATATTACCCAGCTGTGTTTTGTCATCTACTAGCTTCCTGTGCACTTACCCATGTTTTTAGTACCCAGAATATTCCTGAGGAATGTGAAGAGGCAATATTTCTAGTGATGGACATCCTGGTTATGCAGACTTAACTCTTGTGGATTAAAAATACACACGTTCTTCTTAGTTGAAAGGAATGTGTAAAATAAAATTTCACAAGAAAGAAAGAAAAAGAGAAAGAGAAATTATGTAAGAAAAAGAAACCTGCTTAGAGAGGAAGTGTTAGTTCCCTAGACTTTAGAGATTTTTTTCCCCATAGGTGTAGATGGTGAGTACTATGTTAGGTCTCATTTGGAAGAAAATTGAAACAAAAAAGAGCCTTATTTAGGTTAGCTGAATAATTGTATCTAAATCCATAAGATTAAATTGAATTGCAGCTCTGAATCCTCAGTGACAGGTCTTTTATTTTGGTATTTTTCTCTTCAATATAAATAAAAATCTTGCTTATATTATTAGACTGTTTTTTGTTCTTGAGTGTCTTTAATCACCTCTAATATTATAAAACTAGAGACATAAGATTGTTTTTGCAGGAAATAGTGATAATTAAACATCTGCTATTCGAAATAATCACTTTTCTTTTTGCTTCCTTTGCTCAGAGTGGGATGAAAACAATTCAATCTGCTTCATTTTAAGGAGTTGGTTATTTTTAGAATAAAGAAGATGCTGGCTTATCTCTACATGATGTTTGTTATTTTTATAGTTACATAAAGTCATACTCTGAAGCCAGTAGATCAGTTGAGTCATTTCCCTATTTCTTTACCAAAATCAGTTAAACAGAAGTGGTCTTGGAACAGAGTACAAAAGCCATCTTTAGGTAACATGCAGAAGCTGCTTCTACTACCTAACTCAAAGGAGTTTATTATTTCAAAAGATGCCCTTCATCATTGTAGTAATGAGGCAGGATAGATCAGGGAAGATGAGGCATGGGAAAGAGCCACCAGGAATTCAGAGATAAACACTATATTAATATGTGGCTTCATTAAAAGCACACGAGCACTATTTTCTTTGCTTAAAGCCTTACACTGCCCCCCCACACACACATACAACAAGCTGCAACATTTAGTAAAATGGAAAAAAAGGAAAAGTAGTTCTTGCCCTCTGCTTGCCCAAATAATTAGTGTACATTGGGAACTGAGTAAGGGTATCTTAAAGAAAGAAACTTATCTTCGGGAAAACCACCAGGGAAAGTGAGTCCTCTGGGCACAAAAAGTGTTCACAAAGAAAAATACTTATCACAAAGATGGACACCTGTCTTGAGGAGAGCAT